GAGGCTGAGTTCAGACCAGCAGAGACGCATGTCTTTGCCAGGTGCTTACGTGGTGCCGTTTCCCCCTGGGGGCCCCGCCACGTCTTTGGAATAGACCTGAGGACACAGGGGCACATGGGTTTTCGTCCTTGTGGAGACGCCATCACGGGTACAGGGCCAGCAGCTGCGTGTGGGCTCCAGGGCCCCGGGGTCGGCTCTCCCCTGCCCGCGGCACCCGCCGCACCTGTAGACAGGTGTGCTGGGCCGGGCACCTGTCGATGGTTCTCAGTTCGAGGTCAGGGTGGGGGACACTTTGTAAAAGTAAAACTCTCCCTGAAGTGGTTTGATGGCACATAATAATCTCTGGCAGTCTCAGGAAGTTGAGTATCACCTGTGTGATAAATTTATCGTGTCGGCAGCCGGGAAGGCTGGGCCCTGAGTACTAGGAACACAGGATTGGGTAGGATAGACCTGCAGGAAAATCATTGGAAATTGGAATATAAAATAGCCATCAAAAAATCTCTATGAAAAGTGAAGTAGGATGCGGGTTTGGTGGTGCCCACTAAAATTTTGGGAGGAAAAGATCTGATAGCTGGGACCAGATGGGGCGTCTGAATTTAAATGGCAAGAGGGTGGCCCCTGGGGAATGCGGACCCACGTGGGGCCACACACCCTTCCCTCCTGCGGCTTTGCCCTTTGTTTCTCTAAAGTTTTTGTTTGTTTTATTTATTTTTGAGACAGAGACAGAGCACCAGTGGGGGAGGGGCAGAGAGAGAGGGAGACACAGAATCGGAAGCAGGCTCCAGGCTGTCAGCACAGAGCCCGACGTGGGGCTAGAACTCATGAACTGTGAGATCATGACCTGAGCTGAAGTCGGACACTTAACTGACTCAGCCACCCAGGCGCCCCTGCCCTTTGTTTCTAAAGTAAACTGTAGAGGGGCTCCTGGCTGGCTCAGTAGAGCTTATGACTCTTGATCCCAGGGTTGTGAGTTCAAGCCCCATGTTGGGTGTAGAGATTACTTTATAAAAAAAAATCTTTTAAAAAAAAACTTAAGAAAGTGAGTTTTATTTACATGCCAGACCACATCTCCCCAGTACACAGTGGCCACATTCTAGTTGAGCCTGCCGATGATAAGTAGTAGCAGTTTATCTATAACTTAGTAATCACATTCTTACTGCATAAGCACCTGGCTGAATTTTATCTAATTATTAAATCTTTAGGTTCATGGCAAATAGATAGGAGTACTTAATTTTTTGCCCAATGTATATGTAGTACCAGAAAAAAAATCACCTAAGCCAATTACAGGTGTCTACTAATTGCAGTTGTAAAATACTGAAAAGACATACTAATTCTGTATCCCAGGGGAATGTGAAGTGGTTTTAGAATTGGGAGGGGTCTTTACGGGTGGAAGAAAGGATCCCCCCTCCTTTTAGAGGGTCTAGAGTCCTTTGCCAAGGTTACAAAGGAAACAAGAAGAGGTCGGTGCCAGCCTTTCTTGGCCTGAATGCTGTAATTGAATCATCTCGAAGCATCATTTGCGACAAGACTCCACAAACTCGTCTGAAGGGAAGGGAACGAAAGAGTTGATGTGACATTCACCCCGCAGGTGCCGCAGAGCAGGGCGTGCGGGCGAGGTCTGCAGTTGGCCCCGCGCCATTCCGGGAGGGCTGGGTGCTGGCGCCCCCCAGGAGCTTGCTCCCTGGGGAGGCAGGCGAGGCAGCCGGGCGGCAGAGGGACGCTGGCACTGGGGAGCTCGTGTGGTCGCAGGGACAGGCTGGTCCCCTCCTGCCTGGAGACGCCGCGGCCTAGTGAGGAATCGGTCGTGTGTGGCAGTGTGCCCAGGGCAGTGCCCCGTGCGCTCGGGTGCTGGGGGTGCGGGGCCAGCCCTGTGGCCTGCGTGCCCCCTCAGGTGATGGGGTGTCACAGGGCGGGCCTGAGGCTGAGAGCAGGGCTGAGGCCAGCAGGACCCCTGCGGAGACCCAGCCGAGAAGCCTAGGTGGTTTCAGTGAATACAGACGGTCTGGATGGAGAGGATAAAGGGGCTTCGAAGTGCTCTAGGGATGAGCTGGGTGGCGAGAGAGACCGCGTGCGAGCTCACCCTTGGTGACGGCGTACCTGAGGGCAGAAGCTTGGCATCGGAGGATCTTTCAGTTTACCAGGACGGCTGTGACGATGGGCCAGGGACCGGGGTGCTCAGCACAACGTAGATTTATTCTCCCGCAGTACTGGAGGCCGGAAGTCTAAGGTCACGAAGCAGACCTCTTCCAGGCAGGTCTCCTGGCTTCCCGTGGTTTGGGAGCATCTTTGGTGTTTCTTGGCTGTAAAGCCCCTGCCTTCATCTTCACCACAGTTTCCCCTTTTCTACAGACACCGTCATAGGTTCAGGGGCCCAGATCAATCTGAGGCACTGGGCATTAGGGCTTCAGCAGCGTATGAATGTGGGGGTGCACAGCTCCACCCGCAGTAGCAGTAATGGCGGGACACTGCGTGACATTGATGTGGCTACACAGGATGTGGTGATCAGCTTGCAGATTGGGGGACAATTGATGACCACTGGGGTTTTAAAAATACTTGCTGGGACACCAAGGGTCCCATGCCTGCCTGAAGGCCCCGGAGCGCGCGGCCCCTGTGCCCGCCAGAAAACCGCTGTTCTGTTTCTCCTGAGCACAGGCAGGACTCTGTGGCCGAAAGGACATGTAAGGTGCTGCCCAGACCGGTCCCTGCCACCCGAGGACACGTCTGATGTGGTGTCATGTGACCTGCCTGGCCATCTCTCAACCCCGAGCACAAGTATTTTCCTCTGATGTGAGGGAAATCTGCATGAGATCTGCTCTCGGCAGACTTGGTCTGAAGTGCACTGTCTCCTGGGGCAGTGACTGTCGCCCTCCTTCGGGAGCCTAGATGGAGGCACCAGGAACAGAGGAAAGGGCTTTGAACTTGTACACAAATTCCTGATGGGTTTTCCTGGTCGCCCTCAGTGTGACCAGTCAGGCCTCTGGCAACATGACGGAGGCTCTTCCCACAGCAGATTCCCTGTCCAGCATTGCGCTTTCATGCAAGGCTGAGTTCAGTTCATCTCGTCAGGAAATAGCAGGTTTCCAGCATCTCTTCTTTTAAAAGTTTTAAAAAATACAGAAATGATAGGTTATTCTTGCTACTTGGGCTAACTTTTCTAGTATAAGTAGGCTTATTAAATGCTATGTGTGTCTTTTATAAAAGCGAGTGATGACCTTTGGCAGAAACTGTGAATAATGCTAGTAATCATCACCAGTGGCCTTGCCCTTCAGGTGGGCACCTGCCCGCAGGACGAGGTGGTCCCATTTTACAGCTGGGGACACTGAGGTAGCGAGAGGTGAGGAAGGAAGACAAGTCCCCCAGGTGGCGTGTGGCAGTGTCCGCATCCGCACTGAGCGCTGGCCCAGCATCGGGCCCCGTGGCCGCGTCACCCCGGGGACACGGGGCCTTCTCCTGTATGCCAGAGGTTTCCTGGCTGCCATGCAATCATGACAGCCTGGCTGGGAAGAGGGCGCCGTACCTTTTTACCTACAAGGGATCTGTGATTCGGGGACCAGGAGTCATTGGCTGGTGTTGACATAGGGGCAGATGCACCTGTCACCTTCTCTGTTCTCCGCCCTTTCTCCAGCGCCGTGGCCACGCGGGGGGTCGGAATGGGACTTTGTGTGCTTTATCGGAATGTTGGGAAGTTTTCTTCCATTTTTCGTATCGAGCGGACTGAACACCAGATAAAGCAAGTGGGTTTTACGTGTTGCATCAGTGCCCAGAAAGAGTGTGCATCTGCGTGCGTGTGCACGTCTGTGTGTGCATGTCCGTGTGCGCACACGCGTGCTCGCTTCGGAAGGTGAGCCCCGAGACTGCCCATCTGGAGCCCACGAGACCCCTGGAGGCGGAGGGCGGACGCACAGCCTCTGGGCCGGGAGGCTCTGCAGCCTGGTTCTCCAGGGTGTGGTTGTTCCGGGCGTAGGTGGCGTTTCTGGAAGGTGTCTGGGCCCGAGTCTGAAAATGAGAGCAGGTACTGCTGTGTTCCTCTCTCAGAAACAAGAAGTCAGCATCCTGCTGAGGGTTATTGGCTAGAGTGGATTCAGAGCCTGTAATCTCGAGAGGTAGTTTGTCTTTGGGGCTGACAGAAGGACCAGAAGTGCACGTGTGTCCTGTGTCCACGAGAGGCCTGGCGGTGTGGCCCGGGGCGCTGCGAGGAGGTACACAGGACAGTTGCGTGTCCCTCCCCGCCTGGGCGTGTGCGGGGCCGAGGTGTCGAGGGCCAGCCCCCGTCCCACACATGTACGCACCCACGCACACACACACAGCGCCCCGGCAGCGTCCCTGGTGGTTTCTCGCTAACACGGCGTGCTAACCCCCCTCCCCCCCCAGCCAGCTGCCCCGCTCTGTCTCGACCTGTGCGAGATGCCATCCAGTAGTTCTGTCTAACACGTGTGTAGTAGCTGAGCATCCCCCCCCCCTTACTCGTGCCCCGTGAGTACGGAAACACCATTCCCATGATGTTCTGTGTTTTCCTTTCAAAAACTGGGTTTCTCTTGAGGAGAATACAGGTTCTCAGCCCTTGAATTTATCAAAACATTGTACACTAGGCACCTGTTCAGCATGAAAAATTCGTTCCAGTTTTGCAAAACTCAGCAAGAGAACGATCATTTCAATGCTGTTTCTGAACTCTGTGCATCAACGTGTTCCCAGGGAGAGAGAATTCCCGAATTTACAAACAAAGCCTATGTTAAAACTCTTCCCTTCTCAGCCACGGGTGATCCTGGCATTGCATGGGAGGCTGTGCACTCTAATCAGAAGTGAACACGGGTCCTTAAAGACAAACACTTAAACCTGAGTTCAGTAGTTCTCTTAAAATCCAGTGGTTGCTGGTCCTAAATACTGAGAGTTGCCTCCAGGGCGACGGCCAAGGGTGTATTTTTCCACAAGCGAAGCCCACGTCTGTTTGCCCTGCTCACACCCTGTCTTTCTTGCGTAACCAGATTTTTTGTGTGTGGCAGGTGGCAGATTCAAGAAAGAAATTGTTGTTGATGGACAGAGCTATCTGCTGCTGATTAGAGATGAAGGGGGCCCCCCAGAGGCGCAGGTAAGTATTACAAGCAAATGGTACGAAGCCTTTCTTTGACCTTTGCTTTGGTGTTGAGGTTCCCATTCAACAAAAACGGCTCTAGAAATCAGGTGTGCTCATGAAAGGTGAGGCCCCACGAACCTGTTTTCTCTGATAAACTAATTCTGTTGTTCCTTCAGGCAAAATCCTAGAGCGAAGTTAGGTCTGTGTGGCTGGTTTTCACTTTGTGTTGTTTTGTTTTGTTTTTTCTTAATGTTTATTTATTTTTGAGACAGAGAAAGAGACAGAGTGTGAGGGGCAGAGAGAGGGGGAGACACAGAATCTGAAGCAGGCTCCAGGCTTTGAGCTGTCGGCACAGAGCCTGACGCGGGGCTCAAACTCATGAACCACGCGATCATGACCCGAGCCCAAGTCAGGTGCCTCTCACTTTGTGTTTTTAAGAAGGAAGGAAAAACAGAATTTGTGCTGATTTGTCAACTCTGTTGATTTGACTTCTGGAAAGATAGTCCTCTCCTGCTCCTTGTGAGTGGTTTGCTCACACTGGTCCGGAGTCTGGAAATCCGATGGGGGTGGGGGGAGGGTGGATTCGCTCACTGGGCTTCCTGGCGCGAGTGCGCCTCTGCTGACCCGTGCCACACAGCACAGTCTGGCGTCTCCGGAAGTCCCTAGAAGGCTAGGCATCCTGGAAATAGGGCACAGGTGGTGGGTTACTCATTCTCCATGCGTTATTTTACTTACATAATAACTTACTGGCCCGGTGCATACTGTGAGCCGAATCCAGGAGCGGTGGGCGAATGCCTGCCCTGTGGGGGTCACCCATGGAATCCTGCAGACGACCCCTCGAGAGGATGGGCCGAGGAGCCCTGGCTCCACCGCGGGCGCCGAGGCCGGGACACCTTGCCCGAGGACGGACGTGGTGAAGGGGCACAGACTCAGGCGCTCTGCCTGTGCATGGCACCGACCCCGGGGGACAGAGGCGGGACCCCCCGCTGGCGTCTCAGTCCTGGCGTCTGGCCGTGAGAACGCGCTTACTCGGTTAAACCGAGGACCAGCCCTTGGCTCTAGACGTACTGTGTTCAGGAGCGCTGTGCGCCCAGCGGCTCCCCCTCCTTGAAGATTCCCTCTGTGGGGGGGTTGGAGCAGGTTGTCAGCTTGGAGCCTTTGCAAAGCGACAGGCAGGGTTTGTACAAGATGAGGCAGAGCGTGCTTGAATGCTCGGGGTGGGGGAGAAGCCTGTGTTCAGGTTGCCGGCCCCAGCCACGTGGACACACGACCTTGTTTTCACCGTTTCCCAGTGTTTCCCGAGGCTTTACCCAAGCATAACGGCTTCGCGAATGACATCGTACGACTTTCTTGTGGCTCCTCGTGGCTCCTCGTGTCATCTCAGGGTTGACAAAAACTCTGCCAAGTAACTGGCTTTTTGTGTGCGGCCATTGCTGGAGGCAGCGCCGGGGGTGGGTAGGGGTGTTTACAGAGCGCTCACCACCTGCTGGGTGCCCGGCCACGAGGACACCCTTGGGAGGAAGGGGGGTGGCCTGCATGTCCTCTTCGCGGAGGTGCCCACAGCCTCGGTCTGGTCCCCGGGTCCCCCAGTGCTCTTCAGATGCGCGGGGACACCTCCCCTCACTGCTCGGGAAAACACGCCTCCCGGTGGAGAGAGGGGAAGGCGCAGGCCCTCTGTCAGCCTGGGTCGCCGGCGCCCTGCGCGGGCATCGGGCCTGTCCCAGGATCCGTTCTTTCCAAGATCTCGATCTCCTGTTGTTTCACATTCTCATTTGGACTTCACGCTTGTTTAAATTTCTGTCATGCACAGTTTCCACATGGAACGGACTATGCTTTTCAATCACACGTGAAGTCAGAGCTTTACCCACCGGAAATCCGCCCACACACACGGGAGCTGGGGCCTTGGCTGTCACAACTGACCTAGGAACTGCCGCTTCTCAGAGAAGGGGAACAGGATGAACGTTGTTATTACTTATTTTTCCATTTTCCCCTGGGAAGTGCAGGATCTTTGGTACCAGACCGGCTTTTGATTCTGCTGGTGCAATCACGTGCGACCCTGGGCAGCCGCTGAGCTTCTGGGACCTTCCTTTCAGTCGGCTCCGGCCTTCCCAGGCGGTTACGCGCACTGAACAGGACAGTGCGTGCCCAGCAGCACAGTCACCTGCCCCGAGGGAGCTTTGCTGTAGCTTCACCTGGATGCAGTTGTAAAATGAGAACAAAATGGCAAGAGCCAGGTGGTGGCGCGGTTTTCCTGTTTTTCTCGGATTTTTGCCAGTTTTGTTAATTAGCTTTGTAAATCTCTCCAGCCGTAAGTGGTAATGTCCTCACACGGTGCTTTAAGAATTGAGTGGCAGGGGCGCCCAGTTGGCCCGGTCAGTGGAGCATACGGCTCTTGATCTCAGGGTTGTGAGTTCGAGCCCCACGTTGGGCGTGGAGGTTACTATAAAAATTTTTTAAAAAAGAATTCAGTGGCATCTGATCTTTCCAGCACAAAGACCTCTTGTGAGAAGGAGGAGGCTGACAGCCTGGGTGGGGGATTTCTGAGCAGGCTGTGGGAGCCCAGAGGAGGAGCCCCCCCGCCCCGCCCATCCCAGAGAGATCCCGCAAAGCTTCTGGAAGGCTCTGGAAGGGAGTTAGTGTGAAACAGAGAGCTTTAGAGGTACCATCTGTGCCCGTCTTCTGACTTTGAGAGGCTCTGCACGAGGCCGGGTTTGGCTGGATCCAGACAGAGAGGAGGTGTCCACAGGAGAACGTGTCTGGTTTGCATTCCTTGGAGATGCGGTGGCCTGGGTGGGAAGGGGGTGAAGGTCCCGTTCCAGGCTGTTGGGAGGATGTTAGTGACACCATAGCAGCATGTTACAGCCAGGGTCAGGCATCAGACTTGGCCTGCCCCTGGGGCTGCCGGCCACGCGTCCTGTGCTCACGCAGATGCTGTTCCCACCCTTTCTCTCCCAGAGCCCTGTCCCTCAGCTCCTTCTCCCCTTCTTCTCTCCCCAGTTTGCCATGTGGGTGGACGCTGTTATATTTGTCTTCAGCTTAGAGGATGAGATCAGCTTCCAGACCGTTTACCACTACTACAGTCGGATGGCCAACTACCGGAACACGAGCGAGATCCCTCTGGTTCTGGTGGGGACGCAGGGTGAGTGCCGTCCACGTGCTGCACGTGGAGCTTAAGTGAAGTCCCGGCCCCTGTTTTTGGCTGGAGGAGCGTGAAAATGCTCTGAAGAAGAAATAATTTCCCACTAAATCCCTGAAACTGAAATTGTCACATTTCCTGATTTGATTCTGTGGAGAAATCACCCTGTCAGCACCCACAAAATATAACCCTCCCCAGGTGCTCTAGGGAAAATAAAGTCTGTTTTCTCTCTTTTTCTGTAGGAGGGATATCTTCATTCCTTTGGTTATGTAAAACAGTTTATAAGCAATTAAAACTTGGTTTATGTAAAAAAGTTTATTTTAACTTTTGGTGCATCCTTAAAACCTTACCAAGTTCTCATACACAGCAGTGTTATTTCGGTCCATTTGTTATGTGTTATGATCTGTGGCTAAATTTTTACCTAACTGTAGGTAGGCCCCTCAGAGTCGAGAATTAACCCTGGATGAGCACATTTCTTGTTTTCTTCTAGGTCACTTAAAACTTGGCATCTTAGCAGAGTGACATATCTCTTAAGTGGCCTTGTTCTCAGTCACATTCACTGACGCACTGGTGCCTACCGTCTGGGTGTTCAGTATGAGGCCACGTAGAATGTTAAGAACCAGGTGACAGGTTAAGTTTAAAAACTGCTTTCTCAGAAACAGGGGCGACTTAGAACATAATCGTGTCAAGAAAACTTGGATTATGCCTTCATCTATTTTTTCTTTTGTCCTTATTTCCTGTGCTGTTTTTGTGAATTTCCTTGGAACATCCACCTCTGGTCTGCCTTTCTCCAAGCCCTGATGGGAGATTTTTCTAGGCAGGAACTGGGCTGTGTTGAAGAAACAGGCGTAGCTAGCTGTTTGCGTGGTACCGGCTCTAGTGTGCGGAGAGTGAGCTCAGGCGTGGGGCCGGTGTGTGCGTTGCATGGACGAAAGAAGCGTGGAATCGGCTGAAAGCATCATGTCTGTGTGCTCGATGTGAAACGTTAGGGTCAGGGCTCACGGGGAGCACCCCCCGCGCTCTTGCAGCACGCTCTTCTCGGCCAGTGGCCTCAGCCCCGAAACCTTGAGAGCCCTTGGATTCCTGCAGCCGACGGGAAAGACGTTCTTTATGCCCCGAGCGCCCTCTAGTGGTCTCAGGAAACAAGGGCGCGCCAGTACGAAGAAGGAAGGTTCTTGTCCTGATACAAGGAGTGGGCATGTTCGAGGTGACATCCTGAAAATCCTCAGTAGTGGTTTAGAGTGGGTGACCTGTCTAAAGCACATCCTGCTTTAAAAAGATGCAGCGACTCCTTCCCAACAAGCACTGCTCCCGGCAGGCCAGCCCAGGGCACTTCTGAGCAAAATCAGAGACTGAGGGTGGGCATCTCCTTACCACCCGCCCGAGTTAATGGGTTTCTATTTAAGACTCAGAATGTCTTTTTTTCTGGGGAGCCACTGTGACAGGGAGCAGGGACTTGTTCAGTCTAGGCCGGGAGGTCGTTTGTGATCCACCTGTTGCCATCTTTCACAGCTGGGGTTTTGGCAGCGGAGAGTGGAGTGGGGCGTCCGGCCCCTGGGCTTGGGGCCACGTGGTCTTGGCATCAGCGCATCCTGGCTGCGTGACCTTGACTGCCACCTCCTGGGGTCACCTCTTAGGGCCACCTCTTGTAGCCGAGTTTAAGTGGAGGAGCTTGTGTACGGCACTGGAAGCATCCATGGGCACGCACGCAGAAGAGAAGTGGTTGCCATTATAGCTCAGTAATCAGTTTCCCTGGGCGCCTGGTTGGGATGCCGGAAGCACGTCCCTCTCTCTTCCCTTCCCTGGGAATGAGCGCGGCTGACTGTGTCCCACCGCAGCCGCAGGAAGGCACACGTACCCGTGCCCCCCCACCAGGATGGTCCCTGCATTTGTAGAGGAGGAAGAGGACCCCGGGGAAGCCCTCCTGCGGTCCCCGGCTGCAAAGACCTACCCCTTTTAATCCCTGCTGACTGTATAAGCATCTGCTGAGTGAGCCCATTTGATCTGAAGAGGCCACAGGTGAGTGAGCACCTGAGCCGGGAAGCCCGGGGGGAGGAGGGGTTCCTGGCAGTCTCTTCACACTCGTTTGTGAGATGATGTTCAGACTTCAGCATGGCCCCATCGCAAACGAACAGGACGCGAGTATTATCGATTAGGGACCTCTTGGTCCTGAATCAGACCTCTGACTTCCAGAGTGCCCTAGAAGTCCCCCAGCGGCGAGAGGGTGGAGCTAGTGTGGGCTTCTGGAAGGTTCCACCCCTAGGTACTTGTTAACTGCTTGCAGACTTGCTTTCTGTGAAGTCTGCACCCTTGTGCTTTTGCACGGGTTTTATGGGATGCTGCAGATACAAGGTGGGTCAGGCTACAGATAGGGACTCTGGGCTTTCCCTCCCCGGAGCTGGGGTTGGTGGCCTAGAGGCAGGAGGGTCTGGAATGGGAAAGATGAACGATTAACGTTCGTCCCTTTGGGATGCGTGGCATGTGGCGCTGCCTTGTCCACGGGCGGGAGGAGGGGCTCTGGGAATACGTGTGCCCTCGTGCTGGAGCCAGGGACCCTATGTGAAGGTCCTGTCAATGGACATTTCTGAACAAGCTGGTTTTGCGATGTTTGCTAAGCAGGTTCTATTTTTAAATGCTTGCAGATTAAGTTGATTTGAGAGAGAGAAAGGCATGAGCCCTGAACAGACACAGAGTCACGGATGGAATGAAAAAGCAGGCTTGTGTCACCCTGACTGAGACCTGGTGCAGACGGGACACGGCCACATCCGTGACGTGTCGCGGTCCCTGGGAAGATGAGACGGGACAGAAGCGGGCTGGGCATCCCACGGAGGAAAGGGGGCTGTGGAAGTGTCAGGGACTCCAGGCCACGATAAATCATCAGCTGGATTGACAACAGATTTCAGGCTCCCCCCCACCCATCCGTTTCCCTAAAAGGTGTTTACACCTTTAAAAAATTTGTCTTTTTCTTAAGTGTTGTGAAATCTAGGTCAAATTTGTTAACCTTTAAGGATAAGACAGGGCCAAGTAGATGTTCTTTGAAGAGATCCCTCTAACAGACCTTGCCGGGGAATGTTCTGGAACATCTCCTGAGGTGGCAGAGGTCATTGTGAAAGAGGCATGAATCAGAGTTAGTCTTGATTTCTCTGAGGCAAACTCACGTCAGGCCCGTTCCCTAGGGCTGAAAATAAAGTAGGAAGCTAAGTAAGAAAAAAGAGAGGGGGAAAAATGAATAAATTCTTCCCTCGAGATGCCCCTTTTTCATACTTAAAAAAGTTAAATGTCCCATGCACTTCCTGCCTCCAAGTGAACAAAATATAGAAGGTCATTGCCCTCTCACACGACTTCTCTCGGGCTGCACTTCCTCCGACTAGTGGGGGAAAACCTTGGTGGATTTTTGTTTAAGGAGCGTCCGGATGTCGGTTTCCTGCCGCACCGGAGCCTTCAAGCCCGCGGGAAAGCTTCGCGGCAGGAGAAGGCCGTGCAAAGGGCGGGCTGCCTCACACCCTCCTCCGTGGCCGCCACATCCTGACCTTCCTGTGCTGGCGTGTCCGAGGCTGGCACCCAGGATGGGCTGGGGCGGAGGCATCTCGGGGGAGAAAAAAGGCTGATTTTTCTTTTTTTAGGGGACTGATGGCAGGTGCCTGGCATCTCCATTCTGCCGCCCAGACGTCCCCATCTGTCTCCCGATCCTGCAGGAAGTGGGTCTGCTCGGCAGCAACTCTGTTGGACCCAAGGGCGCGGTTCGCACCCCGCCCTGCCCACCCCTGCCTCAGCCTCCCTCAAACACAGCAGCCTCTCCCCTGCGGGTAGCGGCCGGTGCGCCCTGAACACGGGCTGCCCTGGACTCACACCGAACACCTGGACCGCCCCCCGCCCCCCCCCGCCGACCTGGTGCCCCCCGCGGAGCACAGACTGTCCCTGTGGCATCCCCGGGGCATCCCTGGGCCAGAACGGCCCGGACCCCAAAGGGGGGCTCTGGGCGCGCGCCGCACCTGCGGCAGTTGCGCTCCCAGAACGCATTTCGTAGGTGCTTTGTGCACCGAGTCACCTGCAGGTAGCGAGCGTGGGGTGTTTTTCTCCGTTTCGTTGTCCTCCGGAGCCACATTAACGCCTTTCTCCTGGTCTTTCCGGGTGTCCCTTTTTGAGATGCTTACTTGCAGGGTGAACTAGGCTTGAAAGCCCCCAGGGCATCATCACGTGGGGGCGTTTTTACGCCGCGAGACGCAGCCCGAGCCTCGCGTGGTCACCGTGTCGCCGCATTTTGCCCGTCTGTTCCAGATGCCATAACTTCCACCAACCCGCGGGTCATCGACGACGCCCGGGCGCGGAAGCTGTCCAGCGACCTGAAGAGGTGCACCTACTACGAGACGTGCGCCACCTACGGGCTGAACGTGGAGCGCGTGTTCCAGGACGGTAAGCGCCCACGTGACCGCAGCCCCGCCTCCGCCCGCTGTGTGAGCGCAGGCGCCACGTGACCGCCCGCGTTCAAGGCCAGGCCTTGCTCAGGGCCTCCCGCGGTGTGTTGGACTCGACACTTGCCGCTTCTTCTCCGCTGTAGCTACTGGTTCTTAATCCAGGCCGGTTCCTAACACTGGGCTAAGTACCGCACGTGAGGCTTTGAGGAGAGTAAACTGAGAAAAAGGAGCCAAGTTTGCCTCCCCCCCCCCCCCCCAAAAAAAAGCCCAGTCGCACGTCATTTCCCAGCTGCCGCAGGGCTGAGCCCGCACCCCCGGGCAGGAACGGTTTCTTCGTGATCCAGTCACTGTGAGCCCCACCCCCGGGACCAGCGCAGGGTGGGGCGGATGGGGAGCGGGGTCTCTGGGGGCGGGGCCTCGGGAAGGTGGGGGGAGCCCCGCCTCCCGCAAAGTGCCCCGCCCGGGTCCGGGTCTCGGGGCGTGAGTCCTGGGCCCCCGCCTTCCCGGGCCGCAGCCGCAGCCGCGGCGCAGACGGGCTCCGGGGCGAGTGGTAGTGAGGCGCCTGCCCTTGCAGGGCTCCTGGGTGCGCTCGGCTAAGTGACCGGATTCGTTTTCAGATGGGACTGTGGGGCTTGCACACTTTGACCTTTTTTTTTCTTTTTTTTTTTATTGCAAAAGTCGTGTCCGTTTCCAGAGCGCATTTTCTTCCCCTTTCCTGAAGCACCGCCTTGTTCTAAGCTTTCGGGGTCTCTCCTGTGCAGTGGCCCACCCTACCCCCTTCTCAGCACGTGTGTCCTCCGGGGAGCTTTGTACCCCGCGGTCCTCACTGCCACCCAGGGCGCGTCTGAAGCCGCAGCATCCCGCTGAGGCCCCTGGGCTCCTCCCCGCCTTCCTCCTGCCCCGCTCGTTTGTGGGGTGTCGGGCCCCACGTGCAGCTGGTGGGGGAGCGCAGGCCCGCGTTTGCAGCACCTTGAGTGTTCGCCCATGAAGAGCCACGCACAGAAGCGCAGGGGTTCCGGGGGGGCGTCCTGCGGGGCAGGGTCGCCGTCTGCCTCCGAGCAGCCCAAGCCCTGTGAGGCCAAACGGTCACAGCGCCTCTCTGGCCCTTCTGCGGAAGGCATGCCGGTCCCTGATGGCGACGTTCAGAATTTCCTTGTATGGGTTAGCCTATTCTCACCTTACCTGTGATTGCCTTACCTGTGCGTTTATTGCAATCGTGAGCTTTCCATAAATAAGTGAGCTCCTACATCATAATCCTAAGAATTAGTTAACCCTCAGGGAGGCCCCTGCCCTGCACCCGGAGTGTGGTGGAAGCACTTTGCAAGTTGGCGCGCCAGCAGGGGGAGGGGAAGGGCCTTTCCAAACATCGCCTCTCACATAACATTAAAGTGTTTCCGTTGTTGTGATTTGAATGGTGAAGCACATTACGCTGTTAGCGTGTTTTCCCAAGCTTAGGGGATTTCAGTACATTGTGTTACTTCTCCTTTTAGAAACAGGGCATTCCCATTAAATATTTGGACTTAATGGGATTGTACAGAGTCAGGAAAGGCAATGCTCCTGATACTACAGCTTCTGTGACTGTTATTATGATTTTGTCTTTAAAAATATTTCTGTTTAGATGAAGATAAATGTTAAAAATAAACTTAGGGTTGGGGCACCGAAGTCGATTAAGCAATTGACTCTTGACATCGGCTCAGGTCATGATCTCACAGTTTGTGGGTTCAAGGCCAGCATTGGGCTCTGTGCTGTCAGTGCAAAGCCCGCTTGGGATTCCCCCCCCTCTCAAAATAGATACATGAAACTTAAAAAAATAAGGGTTTACTTTTACTTTGTAGGGTAATTATATGGTATATCTTTTTATTAGGTCATACATAAACTCCTTAATTGTTACTGGTAAAAGTTCCTGTCCGAGTGGAGACTGTGCTCAGTACTTAGAAATTGCAAAGAGTAAGAATCTATTTTAATCTTTAAGGAAAAAACACTTCGGTTTAGAGTTCAAGAAATGAAGGCTCAGAAAAATTACCTAATTGGACCAAAGGCTTTGGGCCTGGATTGGACGCCTGCCTTGGGAGCAAGAACCCAGAGCCTTAACCATCCTGTCATTAAAACGGCAGGGACCTGGGTCCTGCCCACTCACCTGGGGGAAGGCTGGGCAGAGGGAGGCAGGGGCGCAGGTACATCGCCCACTCGCAGACTCAAATCCTGCAGATTTCTCTTCTGATTTTCTGGGGAGCCTTAGAACTCATTTTTATGTTTGCACTTTTTATGTTTGCATTCTAGAAAGAGAAAGAGCGCAGGTAGTTTCTTTGTAACATTTAGTTTATTGCTGAATGAAAAAGAGGAGCTGGTCTGTTACCTCAGCCAGACCTTGTTTGTACCTGCCGCCCAGCCAAGCTTGCTAGTCCACTGGCTCTCCAGGTTTCTTTTTTAAGGGACCAGAGACTTTTAGTCTTTGCTTCTTTACCTCTGCCTTCTTAGTGTCCTGAAAGTGAAGACAGAATGTCTGTTTACTTTTCTCTCCATGGTGCCCTTTAAAAAAAAATTTTTTTTAATGTTTTATTTACTTCTGAGAGAGAGAGAGCGAGCGAGCGTGAGCAGGGGAGGGTCAGAGAGAGAGGGAGATACAGAATCCGAAACAGGCTCCAGGCTCTGAGCTGTCAGCATAGAGCCTGATGCAGGGCTCGAACTCACAAACCGTGAGATCATGACCTGAACCGAAGTTGGATGCTTAATCGACTGAGCCACCCAGGCACCCCTCCATGGTGCCATTTTCAAATGGCTCCTGGAAAGTAATTCAGGAGGGAGCGTCATTAGCACCAGCGGAGTAAGGAGGCACAGAGGTAGTTGGATTCATTCATTCATTCATTGAGTCCCTCACCAGAGCACCAGCCTTGCACCCACCATGCCTCTGGTTCAAGGTAGAGAACAGAGGGCCTTTGCGAGGTCAGAGTCCAAGTATGCAGAGACCTAAGCTTGCTCCGTGCCCCAGGGAGGAGGAGGAATGTGACCCATCAGGTCGCTTCCTGTCACCTGCTCACAGAGGTTCCAGATCCTACTACTGCTGAGTGTGTGTGGCTCGCGGAGCAGAACTCTCTGGCCTCCATCAGGGGTTCCCATAAATAAGATTCACCTTCTGAGAATGCGCGTGATCACTGGTTCTGCGTCTGGGCTGCTGGGCGACGTGGCCAGGGTTACCCATTTGTTTGGAGAGCCCTTTGGGGAGACCTGGGCCCCTGCAGGCTGGACCACAGGGGATTGAAGCAGTCTGGGGCTGAATGTGCACCCCCCCCCATGTCTCTCAGTCTGTCCAATTCTGTGCAGTTCTGTTTGCCACCTCCCCCCTCCCCCCGGCCGTGTCTGGGAGATCAGCTACAGGTATTGTATTTTTAACATTATCACGGTGATTTCTGTGTTGGTGTTATATTTTTTGGGACCCCTGGTTATCTGTTCTCTCGGGAGCCTGGATACAGGAAGATATAGGATTACAGGAAAATAAAGTTCATTCTCTGCAGACATTGTTTCTCTGATGCTATGATTCTCACTAAAGAGGAGTTGCACTCACTCCCTAAGGGAACCACCGGAGTGGGAGAAGCCCTTGCAGCGACACATCTTTTGTGCCATTTTAGTTGAGTCCCCAGGTAGGTGAAGGAGGGTAGTGTTGGTGATGCGAGTTTTCAACCTAGACATTCAGGGACAACTTACGATGATTATGACTCAGTGACAAAAGTAAATTCTTCCCCTAGAAGACCAAGCAGTGCTGAAAGGTAGTAAAAAGTCGTGAAACCATTAGCAGGCGCCATCTTGGGAAGGGGACAGTGGGCTCTGCCAGTGGGCTCTCCTCACGATAGAGCCTTTGGGATTTTAGTTTCCTCAAGGTGGAGTTTGGAAACGGTGAATCATACTCTCTTTTTTGAACATTTTAAAATTTCCTGTCCTGCATTGAATGTCCTTGCTTACAGCTTCTTCTGTTTTTGTTTTGCTGACTGTGCCTGTGTGATGGCCATGTGCCGACTATATAGTGATCTATGCCACAGTGTAGTTCTTTCCTTCAAACTGAGTACGAGGTAGAATTGGGTTTTTGTTTGTTTTGACCTTTTATGGACTAGAGCCAATCGATCCCCTAAGTTTTTTGGGGGGAGTGTGTTTTATAATTTTTTAATTATGGCATCTGACTGGTATGTGACATTTTAAAGATGCCTGATATCTAAGGAAAAGGGGGTTCCCTTTCATACAGAAGGAGTAGAACTTACTGGTGTTACCAGAGAATTAATCTGTCCTTACCCGAGCTGCTTTATGCCCTTTTCCTCTCTCCCCACTCCCTCTCCTAAAATGAGCCAATAGAGAGATTTGTGTTTGTAAAACGCTATGGTTTTATCTATGGGTTTCCTGTAACGAGTCCCGACACCAGCTGTTTTGTATGCAGAATTTAATATCCTGAACACGTACATTCTAAAGTTGTAGCCATTTGTTAAGTCCCACCTGAAAGCATCGTGTTAGCAGTCACAGCACACCCCCCAGTAAAGCTTAAACTCCTCGCCTTCTTCAACTTGCACTCAGGGTAACGGGAAAGCCTGCAGGCAGCATAGTTTGCTCCGACAGTAATTGCTGGACCTGGTTAAGATCCTTATAAACCAAGATCTAGATAAATTACAAATTAACATCTGTCTGCTTGACCCTCCCCAAGACGGCTGGGTTTTGTCACTGGGTTGTCCATTCACAGACTGAACACTGTCCAGTTCAGTGATCTCGCGTGGAAGACCGTTCATCCTAGAACAGAATAGATGTTCCACGTTCTAGTAAAAGGAAACAGTTGGGTTTTAGGTGCACGTGGGTGGAGAGGGCGGGCCTCTGTCTGCCCGTTGCTGGTGCTACCACAACCCAAACCTCAGGCTTCCGGGGCTCACACACAGCCGGGCTATAGTGATCTACCCTGTCTGACGACGTGGTCCTATTCTACAATGATCCACATCAGGCTCCTAGCACCGTCACGCCAGCTCT